CCCACTGGAATCAGACAGATAAGAGGTGACACACACACACAGACATGCATGCACTGGCCTAGGCCTGGCCCTGGAAGGGGCTGATCCATAGGTTTAGCTTGGGGCAGGAGTATTTCCAGTTTTAAAAAGCTTGCCAGGGGTGTCACTCAGATGGAAAATCATTAGGGAGAGAAAATTCTGCCCACAGGTCAGCATCATAACTATAGGCAGAGGTGCAATCCTGGGCACGATTAACAACCTTTATCACTCTACCAGGCCTGAAGGGGCCCAAACTCCCAAGGGAGGAAGAGGGCGTGTCTGGTGGGGTGCAGGGCAGATGCCCGCATCAGTGGTGAGGAACGCAGGCCCTGTGACCCCCAGCCATCAGCTCTCCCATTCAGCCAGAGCTCTAGAGACTCCCACCTTTTACTGTGAGGGGAACCGTGTGAGCAGAGGGGACAGGCGTGGATGATGCCGCCTCTGACTGGTTTTATTTCCACCTCACACCTGATCTCAGAGGCCATGATGTGGCCAGAGGGGCAGATGGCAAGGCAGGCCCTCAACCTCTTCCCGCAAGATGCTTTCCAAGGTCATTCCAGATGGAGGCTATTCCCACGGCCCCCTGGAAGTCACATACTCCCACTATGGCCTCATCTCCAATCCAGAGGCCTTAGCAGATAAAGGGGCCGAATCCAAACATCTGAGACCAACTATGTCACCATTGAGGGATTTACTGCCACATGGGATCCGGGACCTGGAGCTGGAAACGAGCCTGTAGGCATTTCAGCGCAGGGACTTGTAGCTCCCGGGTCCCAGCTGCCATCACAGGGCACAGGCTGTGCAGATGTGCCCCAAAATACACTCCCAGGAGTGAGAAGGCTGCTCTGGGAGCGGCAGCCTCCACTGCCGAACAGTTTGCCTGCATCTCACCAAACCAAAGCCAGGCCGTCAGACACCTGTCTCACCCTGAGAACACTCTCTGTGACCCACCCCCAGCCCCTCACCCCACGGTCTGGCCTTCATGTAAGGCCCCAGGAGTAGAGGGGCAACAAGATCCTCTCTGATTACTCTGCCCGTGTCCTCCCTGCCCCTCAGGTAAACAGAAGCAGAAGTTCTCTTCCTCACATACTGCACACAAACACGTGTCCCTCCTAAATCTGTTTACACAAAGAGCTCCAGAGTGACAGAGTCACAGCCAGAGAAGCCGTCTCATCTCCAGTCAGCTATGTGATGCCTCTGTGTGGAATGTTTGCTCTTCTGTAAAGGGAGCTAAAAATGTGTGTTCTCAAGTATGAAAATGTGAAATACACCATCGAGAGCAAAACTTTTGTCCTGTGCCCCAGTGTGAGACGACCCCTAGGCAGCTACTTCTGGGCAGCTTCTTACCTGCCCCCACTGAGGGCGCCACTGGGAAAAATGGGCATCCAGCCCTGCAGCCCAAGCCATGGTAGTCCCTGAGAACCCCCGCTGTGGGCATGAGTCCCTGAACTCTGACCTGCCTCCTGGAGGCAGATTTGCTCCTTCAGGCTCTGCCCCCCAGGACTGAGTCCTGACAAGGTGAGCCCAGCTAGTGGGGGCAGGAAGCCAGAGGGGCTGCGGGCCTCAGGCGGTGAGGGCGGTCGTCTGCTGGTTGGAGGGGGCTGCTGCCCTGTGGGCTCACTGGATGCCCCACCTTGTCCAGGGCACGCGGAGTGGGGAGAAGGGCTCTCTGACAGGTTATAAATGGATTTGGCTGAAAGGGGAGGGGGACATCAGGAAAACTACCCAAGACAGAGCTGCTGGGGTGGGAGCTGAGCAGAGCACATTCCTGCTGCCGCCCAGAAGAGGTCCAAAGAGCAAGCGCCTGAGGGAATACAAGACCCCTGCAAACGGACCCATGTTCCTTAAAAACACCTCCCCAGTGGCGTCTGGAAGGTGAGGGCGAGGGGAAAACAGCGGGTGCAAGAGGACTCTACGTCTAACTGAGGTTATGAGAAAAACAGCTTCTTACTTTGATCAGCTTAAGTCTGTCATACTGAAAAGAAAACCACAAAAATTAGGAATGAAAAACAGGGAAAAGTCAAAGGGACAGGAGCCCAGAGACACAGAGCCAGCATGACACAGGCACCCAGCAGAGGGAGGACTTGCTGGGCTACTGGGCACCTCCCGGTGGCCTCCTAGACCAGAAGCTGGCAGGGGCAGGAAACAGCCTCTAGCTCCCTCTAGTGGCTCCCAGCCAGCAATACAGGGCAGAAGCCGGTGGCAGCAGGACTCAAGGGGTCCTGGGAAGCGGAAACAAGCCTGCCTGCCGTCTCCTAGCCCTCTAGGGCCAGGGCAGCACTCAGGTCAGCCTCAGCAGGGTCGTACAGATTCACAGGACAAGGACACTGCTGTTCATCTAGTCCAGCCCCTACACGTTAGCACTGGAAGAAAAGGAGGCTTGGGGAAAGGCAGGTGGCACTGTATGAGGCTGGCTGCAGAGGAGTGGAAGCACTCTCCAGCCTGCCCTACGTCATGAGGCCACCTCCTCTATGAGGTGGGCTGAGGACTGGGAGTGGGGGGCCTGGCTTGCAAAACAGTGACAACAGCTCTAGTTACCAGACCCCTTGCCCTGGAAACATTGGTCAACCTGAGAGCAGGTTCCATGGAAGGGGAGGGGGCCTATCCCCACCATACAAGCACTCCCCTCCTCTCTCCACCTCACCTCTGCAGCTTTCTTCACTGTTCCCTCCAGGCCCCGACCATGTGAACCTAATTGCTATAAAGTCTGTGTGGCCCACACAGAGGTTCCCACACCAACCACAGCTGCTACCACTCCTCCCTGGGTGGTGGGGTGTCGCTCTCTTATTTTAACTGCATTTAGAGGATCATGGTGTTGGTGGAGATGGTCAGTGGCTGGTGAGAAAATGGGATGGGGAGGCAGGTATCCCAAGCCAGGGACTCAGAGAGTCTGTCTGTGGAGGACAGGCACTGCCTCACCCCAGCTCTACAGAGGGAAAGGAAATGTAGAGGCCCTCAGTCACCCCCTCTGCAGCTCCCTATGAAAGGGGCACGCACGATTAATGCTCAATTCACACTCAGCTTGTGGTCCCTTCTTAAAACTCGTTTCGCCTTTCCAGGACCTCAGAGACCAGCCTGGCTCAGGCATCCAGCTCCCTGAATGTGGCCCAGCTACCCACTCACAATGAGTCTCCTGCCTCTGAATTCACGGAGCATCCCAACTACTCCGTGGTTCCACTTTCAGGTTCAGTCTGTGGATAATCTGGGTAGTTTCTTATCTCCCTTCTCAGACTGTTCTGCCTGAGAGCAGAAAACCCGGTTTTCTCCTGTTCCAAAGACCTGCTCAGGACAAATCCGCGTTCCTGGGTCCTCACCCCAGCCCACCAGCTGACTGGAGGAGGCACCTTTATGTGCCCCGGTGACTAATGACATAAGCAAGTGCTGCTCTGCTCACCGCGCACCTCACTGGGTGCAGGGGAGGAAGATCAGGAAGCTCGGAGCTGCACCTGGGGTGGAAAAGAGTGCCAAGCCTGGGGGCAGATGTGGAGAGATGGGGTAACCTGATGCCACGCAGGCAATGTCTGCCCTCCCCCCACCAGAGGTGTGAGGGGCTCAAGAACAGATGACAGAGGTCATCTCAAAACCCTGTTGCCAGATAAGCCTGCACCAGCTGAGCTGCCTGAACACACAGGGCACTCCTGGCTTCCCCCCTCTAGGTAGAGCTGGTGTCGACACCCCTTCCCCCAGGTTCACAGCCAGCAGCACTCATTTAACATGCGTATCATATCCTGATCCTGACCTAAAACACCTACTGCTCACCTCCACTCCTCCAAGTTCTCAGGCCTCTGGCACTGTCCCCCTGACCTGGTCACATCGCTGCAAAGCCCAGCAGGGGCTATTACCAATATCCAGCCACTCCAGGGTGCTGGCACCATGCCCTCTGGGAGAAGAACTCCCTTCTGATCTTTCTCCACCATCCTAAGAACATGGGGAGCCCCGGGCCGGGTAGTGGAGTGATGGGTGGGAGTGGTAAGGGGTGCTCAGGCTGAGCAGCTATTACTGGGCAGGCGGAGGGAAGGAGGTGCCAGCTAGGCCCCTGAGGGCATTCTACTGCCCCACGGAGCTCAGCTATGGGAATCCATGACCCTCAGTCGACTCATTCAGGGAATCAGGAATCATCCACCAAAGCAGATCCAAGGGGGATCAGTACAGAGGCCCAACTGGACAGAGCCTCCCTTCCCCAAAGAAGTGAGACTGAGCCCCGGCCAGACTCTGCTTCTAGGTGGCACCATGTAAGGAGGGATCAGAACCCCAGCCCAGGCAGAGTTTGGGGAGCAGGCAGAGACAAGGGGGGGGGGGACGGGGGACAACAGCTCTGTTCTCTGACTTCAGGTGCAACGGAAATGGTCCCTCAGTCACTTCAAGTCAGCCTGCCAAGGGCAGTGGGGCCGGCCTTCTGGGAAAGGGACCAAGCAAGACACGGGCCAGATGGGCGACGGCAGAGGGAGGGATGCAGAGCTCTACAGACAACTGGACAGCAGAGGGGAGACCACAGACAGACGAGAGATGGCTTACTTTTGAGAGGCGCTTGTGAGACTAAGACCATGCATGCAAAGAAGTTATTGGGGAATGGTGGGGAGAAGAGGGAGAAAAGGAAATCAGAAGACACGTTCGGGGGGATGCCAGTTCCCGTGCCTCCCGGCCCCCCACCCAGCCCAGGGTCTGCGAGTCTAGCAAAGGGGCATCTGGACAGATATGTCTCCCACTTCCCAAGGACTGAGGGGGAGAAACTCTCTGGGCACCACGAGCAGCCCAGGCCCCGGGGCTTCTTTATGCCCATCCTTAGGCAAGGGCTTGAGCTCAGGCGGCAGTGCTGACACACCTGGGAGGGATGGAGAGGCCCGGTCACCGCCTTCCCCCACAGATGGACAGGGGAGTAGCAAATGGGTATTACCAACGGCAGACACGTGAGCGCGGGCGGAGGCTAGATACAGCATTCTGCCGCACTCCCTGAGGGCTCTCCCTGGCACGCTAGTCACTCCAAAGAAGGCTCCCTTCTGCCTCAAGGTTGAAAAAGATAAAAGAGCTAAACTGATGAACCCCCTGATCCCCGGAGCATCCCTCCTCCAAATCTCAAGGTGTGTGAGGCTCCCTCGCTCCTACGGAGAGCAGCAGCATGGAATCATTTCACCAGCGCCTGGGCCCTCTGAGTGCTCAGCTGAGAAGATAAATTTCACCAGGGTGGCCATGCCTGCCCCGCCCTCGCCTCACTGAGCAAAGACTCTCTGGGTCCCTCGAGGAAGGGGTGATAACCTCACCACCCCTCCAGCACCACCCTCCCTGCATCAGCTAACAAGCAAGTCGAGTCCCCGGCAGGGCAGGGACACCCAGCTCACCTTGGAATTCTTGCCACCACTCCTGCCCGACTGTGAGGAGCAGCTGCGCTGCACACCCTGCTCCGGCGTGGAGGGCGACTTGTCCGAAGAGTGGTCTGATCCCTTCTCCACCATGGTGTCTCCGTCAGGGCTCTGTGGGGTTGGCGAGCGAGACCGCTTCCGGAGGACCGGGGAGCAGGCTGGCGAGCTGCGGTTGGAGTTACTGGCAGTGCTGCAGGGGCAGGTGAGGAGGGGGCGTGGGGAGGGGAGGAGGGGGAGGAAACACAGGCCATGAGTGATTGAAGGTCAAGTGGGGTCAGGGCTCAGGGAGCCGGGGTTTGGGGTTGGGGAGAAAGGGAGACAAGGGCCCAGCTACACTCACTGCACCATAATACCGCTGCCGGCCAGAAGAGGGCGGTGGTGTCAATGTGAAATGGAAGTAGGAACAGGAGGGCAAATGGACATTTAGACATCCGCCCATCCACCAGCCATCTGTCTGTCCATCCACCCAAATATTGTTAGAGCCGCTAGTACAAGCCAAGAACTGCCTGGGGAAAAAACGATTTTAAGGGCTGAAGACTCCTTAGAGATTACCGAATACTATCAGCTCATTTTACACATGCTGCCAGTCCAGTTTTTACATTTTGATTGGGAGATATTTGTCCATATAAATAACAATAATGATGCTACTTTTCAAAGCATTCACGTGCATATTATTTCACTGGGTCTTAAATCATTCCACCGAGGTAGTAAAGAGAAATGGCATAATCCCCACTTTAAAAATGAAGACACTACATGGCAAAGAGACCTTAGGGTCCTCAGTCACAGAGTGTTTAGAAACAAAATGTGGTCTTCTGACTTGTAACCCCCCACGCCACACAGTCTCCTTGCAAGCCACAGTGGCTGCTGCACCCCAGCCCAGGGTAAAGACAAACAGGGCGGCAGGTCTCACACCCGTATCACCCTCCTCCCAAGTTCACTCCAGCAGCACCTTGCACAGCCCACGGTACCAGACTCACTCACAGCAATACTCACAAGCGGCACAAACATTTACTTCTGGACTAGCTTGTGTTCTTAATGGAATAAAGGAGAAGAGATGGAAAAAAGGAGACAAAATTAAATGCAGTTAAGCTCTCATAGGTGTTGGCTTAGCTCTGAGGGAATGAGGGGGGTGGAAAAAGGGCCCGGTGAAGTAGGAAAGAGACAGAGGAAGTGGGAAGGAAAGCAAGCGTGAGACTGGAAAGCCAAAGAGGCACAGGGAGGGAGATGGGACGCCGAGGGTCCCGCTCATGCACTCAGCAGTCGGAGAGCACGGGTGGGCTCTGGAAACAGCCCAGAGCCCAGGCTGCAAGGGCCCCAGCGTTTGCTCAAGGCCTTCCCAAAGCGAGGGGAGTGCAGCGTAGGGAACACTCATTTGCATGAAGATCCAGCTGCAACCTCATTTGCAATGAAAACCATGCCCCTTTCAGCAGAAATTTCCACCTGGGGACCCTTAGCAGAGAGAACGGGAAAGAAGCCCAAAGGCCAAACCAGCAGGTCAGAGAGAAGGGCGGCACTGGGGAGAGGCAGTGTTCTAACCTTTGGAAGAAAACTGATGGAGGGAGGGGGGGAACAGAGACCAGAGAGGGGGAAGGCCAATGTGACCCAGGATATTTGAAGACACATGTATCCCCAAACAGAATTTGAATTAGAAACTCATTTGTTATACCAACATTAACTGTGATTCAGAAAATGATGCTCTTCAGGTTCTCGCCCGTCCTCTGACTCTGAACTCATTCACTGCTACAAACCCGAAAAAAAGGAAGTCACGCCCTTTCCCTCGGCTGGAAAAGCTGAAGCAAGTGGACCTTCGCACACACCCTTGGGTGGAGGGTCCTGAGAGCGGGCTCAAGTGCTCACCTTCCTGGGCAGCCTCTTTTCTCTGGGGCCAACTGCAACCCACAGCCAAGGGCTCCACATTTCCAACTGTCTTCTGGGATTTCTTTCCTGGAAGACCAGCCAGGAACTCCACCCCAGCCTCAACCAGCTCGCTGAGAGCAGCACTGCAGCTCGGCTGGCACCTAGCAAAGCCCATCCCAGACACAGCGAGCCCGCAGCGGGGCTCCCGTCCTTTCCTTAGATAAGGGACATCTTCACATGGGGGGATGCGGACTCGGGAATGGAGGGGATCCCTTTGTCCTCTGAATTGCTAATGGGGGGGATTCAAGCAAGGGGTGGGCAAAACGTTCTCTCCTACAGGAAACTCACGCCAACTGTCCAAACACCACAGGAATGTCACTCAAACAAAATGTCCCCGACTTCCTCACCCCCGGTGGCCCCACATCGGCTGACCCAACACAGGCCTCCCAAGGTACCTAAAATTCTGCTCTCAACACATCAGTCAATGAACAACTGATAGTGTCATTTGTCACTTTAATCTCTGCACCCGTAAGACTGTTAATCCCCGCTGCTATCCTTGAGAGCCTGTCCCCTCCTGGTGACACCCCCCATTCTTCCTGTCTGGGCCACTGGCTGCTCTCTTGCTTCCCCGAATGACAGGCAGTCCCTCTCCGAAGATGAGTCCTTTACCTCCCAGCCGCTCCCTGCCTCCTGGGACTTCGACTGTGCCCCCAAGCAGAGGCCTCTGCTGCTGCTTCAGTCCTGCAGGAGGACACTTCCTCCAAACAGATGCCTCAGGAGCACCCCAAAGAAACCCATCCTCCCTCCCCTACCCCTCCCACTTCCCATTCAGGAGCATTATCATTTCCTGGCCTCTCAGGCTGCAAGCCCACCTCTTCCACCTCACCCCACAAAAACTGAGTCACAGATTCCTGTCAATTGTATTTCAGTAAAGCTCCTTAGCCCATCCTTTCCTCCCACCCCCAGGGCAGTAAGGCCGGCTCTCGGTGCCTCTCGCCTACACTGCCAACAGCCTTCTCAGTGGTACTTGCTTTCCTCTTCCACGCTCATTCATAATTTTGTCCTTAACTCTGTCTAAATATAAGCCCGACATTACCTCTCTGCCCCCTACCAGCATTCACATTAAAGTCTAAAATCCTCAGAATGGAATTCAAAGTTCTCTACTGAAAATAATCTGACACATACCTGTATTTCGATACCTTATCTCTCCTGATACTGGGTGTAGTCTTGTTCATGCTTTAACGCCCATCTCAAACCCCATCTTTTCCAAAAAAGTTTTCTAAATCTCCACCTCTGAACTGCTGAAAGCATTTAACACATCCTGCCTGGTATAAAATTAAGCCCTACAACACTCCTGGAGGCACAGACCTTCGCCCCCCATATGGCCCAGTGTGAAGCTCTGTACTTGATGGTTTGACTCTCACTGCAGTGAACGCCCTCACACCCAAGGCTCTCACACCCCCGGTACCACCACATCCCCAAATCCGAACCTCCAACTGTTAATATTAATAAAATAGCAAAAGGTTTATCAATGTTCAATAATTCCTGGCACAGTGCCAAGCATCTATTAAGTATTATCTTACTTAATCTCAACCAACCTAGGAAGCACTAATGGATATTATTATTAGTCTTACTTTTCAATTGATAAAACTGAATTATTGACTGATTAAGTGATTCACCCAAAGTCACCCAGACAGGTAAGTGGCAGGACAGGATTTGAAGCACAGGCCTATCAGATTATCGAGTTTGTTCCCAGAGCGACGCATTCAAAAATGCTTGTTTGCTGGGGTGGATGGGGGGCTTGGTGAGCAGCAAGAAGGAGGAAGCAACCTCCTGCCTCCTGTCTTCAATCTGTTCTCTACTTTGCTCTCAAAACGAACCTTATAAAAAGTAAATTTGCCATTTTTGACGCTCCTCTCCCGTGGTTAAAGCCCTCTACGGTTCCAGCCCAAGTACCCCCCACACACTCTGACCCTGCACTATGCAAGAAGTTAGGGAGCTACAGCTTCAACTCAGCAACATCACTACTAGACTTGCTGGGGTCCTAAAACTCTTAAAGGCACCTGATAGATTTGGATGTCCTGCTGAGCAAATAAAACCAACTCCAGCCCTGGCCGGGTGGCTCAGCTGGTTGGAGCACCATCTCCTACACTAGAAGGTCACAGGTTCAATTCCCGGTCAGGGCACATGCCTAGGCTGTGGTTTGGTCCCCAGTCGGGAAGTGTTTGGGAGGCAACCCATCAATATTTCTCTCTCACATCAATGATTCTCTCTCTCTCTTTCTTCTGCTCTCTCTAAAAATCAATAAACATATCCTCAGATGAGTAAATGAAAATTCCTATGTATCTCATAACCTACAACATTGTGTCTTTCACACAAACTCTTAAGATGTGCCATTAACCTGACCCTGCCACCATTACTAATAATAGTATTGCATTATATTTCAAAATCTTGGGATTTTAAAGCTAAAAATGACCTCAGATTTGCTACAGAAAGGGAAGAAAGACTGGTAATGAGGGGCTATTGGACTGAGATTCCCGTCAGAGTTTAGAATTAATATATCCCACTCTTTACTTCACTTGTGAGAAACCTGAGAAAAGGGGAGGTTAAGTGCCTGGCCAAGGAAATGTGACTTCACATCTGGGTCTCCCTTCCACAGGCGTTTGAGCACCTGGCGCAACGCGAGGCATCTGCGCCCGCACCGGCGAGTGAGCAAGGTCCTCGCGCTGGGACATCACAGTCAGGAGGAGCTAGGCACGTGCTTCTCTCATTCAGCACCCGCAATGAGTGGGTGACAAGTGAGAGAGCAAGGGACTCTCAGCCGGACCGGAGGGACCAAGGAAGGCTTCCTGAGCGTGTGGCCCTTGAGACGTAAGCTAGGCTCAGAAAAGTGTGTTAGAGTGAGCGAGCCGAGAGCCATGACAGCAGGAGAGAAGAGAATGTTCCCGAAAAGAAACAAACCAACCCCCTAGTGTGAAGGAAGGTGTGCAGGCCTAAAATAGCATGAGGTACACAGGGCATTGCCAGACACCGTGTCGCTGAAGCAAAGCCTGCTTGAGCTGACGCTTTAGAGGCTCCTGTAATAACCCTCCCCAATAAAAGGTGCACGGAGACCCCGCCAGCCACCGTTAACCCACGCGCGGGGCTGGGNCTGAGCACCTGGCACAACGCGAGGCATCTGCGCCCGCACCGGCGAGTGAGCAAGGTCCTCGCGCTGGGACATCACAGTCAGGAGGAGCTAGGCACGTGCTTCTCTCATTCAGCACCCGCAATGAGTGGGTGACAAGTGAGAGAGCAAGGGACTCTCAGCCGGACCGGAGGGACCAAGGAAGG